CCATATTAAACAAATACATCCTAAGGTTACCCGGGTCCACGTTTTGGGGCCACGCCCCCTTTATATATCAAAATATTTTTTACCCTGTGACCATCCCTGGAAGATATCCAGTGCGTGTGTAAAATTTGGTTACGATCGGCTTATTCGTTTAGGAGCCAAGTGTGTCTATAGGTACATACATAATTTGAATTTTATATATATAGATTGATACTTTGATACTTAAATGAAAAAAGTAATACATATTGATACATTTTAAGTCTCTTTTCACCTACAATTTTTCACAAGCCCGCCGTCACACTGAATGTGATGTAAATGTAGAGATGTAAGTGTTACCGTTGAAGAATTGTATTCGTATATGTGTGTATGATAACTAATTGTTTCCATACTGGAATATGTGACATTGTATCTAATGGTTGTGTTTTTTATGTTTCTATTCCAAATAAATAAAAACAGGCTCCGTGAAGAAGACGAAAAACAACGCCGAAACGCGTAGGAGAAAAAAAGGAAACTTGTTTTTGCTTTTTTATAACTACCGGCCGGAAGAGCTCCTAAAATAACAAAAAGATATCTCATGTACATACAACTTGAATGGGACCAACCGAAATTGTACGGCGTGCGTATGAAGCTAACTCAATTTACATGTTTTGTTCTCCGTGACATTTTGATTTTACGTTTCGCTCAATGAAATCAAATGTAAACGCACGCGAGCCAATTTCGGGTCACGCAAAAAAAAACCAATTCAACGGCGTGCGTACCAAAACACAAGCCGCGAATATTAGGTTAGCCTGTTACTTTTTTGGTTATATATCTCAGATTATTTTTGTTGCTTGTTTGCCTTTCTCAACTGTTCATAAATTACCCTGCTGTTTTGTTTACTGTACTTAATTGCAATCACTTGTGCTCTTGCTGTGTTGTATATTTCTTGGGCTTGCTGCAATTTGTAGTTAATCCTTTTCTGTCTCAGTGTGTTCCATTTAAATCCCACTAGGAAATCAGCCTCCAGCACTATTGATAACCACAAAATTTTACTAGATATTTTATGCCAACAGTCAAATGGCTTTAACGTAGTGCATTTTAATGCTCGAAGTCTTAATGGTGGTAAATGGGACTATGTTAGACATATTTTTGGAAAATCGGGGGTTGATGTCATCTGTGTTTCAAAAACGTGGTTTAATCCAAACGTTACTGACGTTTATTATGGTACCCCACACATGAATATTATACGCCACGACAAATCAACCAAAAAAGGAGGGGATGTTGCAATTTATTGCAGATCGACCCTAAAAATTAAACCTCTAACTGTGCCAAATGATTCTGATACGAAATTCATCTTTGCGGAACTCTCAGATAATGTCATAAAAATGCTAGTGTCCTCTGTATATAATTTTAATTGGTGTTGCATGCTAGATTCGTTTTATGTTGAGTTATCTTTGTTTTTGTTGTTTATCTGCTGCAAATCTTGCTGTGGTTAAGAGATTATTACCAACAACCTTGTTATTGCCTTGATTTGCCTTATTTTGTGCATTAGATGTGTTGTTTAACAGTCCTGCTGATACTTTTATTTATCGCGATTTTAAGTCTGTTAAAGTTAGTAATCTGCATGTCGAATGTTAACTGGAATAACTGTTGGTTCATTGAGAGTGTAGATGCAAAACTTGGCTTCTTAAATGAAAATCTGACAAAATTATTCGATGACCATGTCCCGCTTCGTACTGTTCGGGCCATAAATAGCGCTTGCCCTTGGTAAAATAAAAGAGTTAGCTCAGCTATAAAAGCACGTGATAAGCTTTATAGTAAATGGAGGAGAACCAGAACTGACTTTGCTTGGACACAGTACAAATCTGTCAGAAATAAAGTTACTGCCATTAGGTGCAATCCCGTATTCCTCGGACTCGGACTAGTAAAACTGTCAAAAATTAAAAATTCGCTCAGAGCAAGAGAGTAACATTGAAAAGTACGGGATCGCTTTCTAGTAAAAAATGGTAACTTCTGTCAACTTCAACATAACCTCTAAATTTTGGTTGTAAAATTTTGCTTATTTTGTATGTAAACACACTCAGCTCACACATGTAAATAACCAAAAATACTTTCAAATTCATTAGAATCCACTTAAACAAGTAATTAAATACTTTTCAACATGAATTAGCAGAGTGCACTTTTCTTTTGTTTACAATTTGGTTGCCAAACACACTACAGCTGATCGTTTGACACATTTACCAGAATTTACCAGCAAAAAATTCTCGGACTAAAACTGGTAACTTCTGACAGAGAGAGAGCCGTATATACTCTCTTTTTTGTCCTCTCAATAGTCAGAGAACCGAGTACGGGATCGATTTCCAGTAAAATCTGACTGATTCTGACTATTTCTGACTAGTCCGGACTCGTACGGGATCGCAACTATTATAAGAAACTAGCAGACCGGGCGAACTTCATCCCGCCCAAAATTGTTTTTTTATTGAAACATTTGGTCCAACGTTTTCACCATCAATTGACGTTAACGTTTGGTTTTGTGGTCGTCGGAAGGCATATCCGCTATTGCCGTCTTAAATAACCTAATGAAAGCATTATGTCCGTGAAGAAATTTTTGTGGCAACAATTTTCTGGTCCGATGGTGAATAGTCCTTGAACATGTATAGTAGTTTGTGGCAATTTCAAAATGGGGGAGTATCATTGGTCCATAAAAATCCAATATAC